GAAAGTACTCGGCTGTCTTTTGGAAAAAATATATATATCAATATGATTTTGAAATAAAAAGTGTCATTCGGAAATATGAGAAAATACAAGGACTATGTTGTCTCTGGCGTTTAATACAACGTGTTTAAAAGAGGGGATGCTGCCTAAATACACACACACACACACACACACACACACACACACACACACACATATATATATATATATATATATATATTTATATATATTCGCGTGTGTTTGTGCGTAGTTTGATATATTATAACATAACTGGTCGTAAAACGAAATCCGAAGTCTGGGTCACTATAAAAAGAGATTCACTTGTATTTACTATTTTATGACCACGCAGTATATACTGTGTGTTCATAAAACTGAAGAAAAAATATCCAGAGAAATAGTAATGTATCTCAATTTCAATCTCACGCGTCTGCGTAATGCGTATGTTGCAGGGAGATGCACCCCTGCAGCACAACATATTATCTGTCTCGTTCCTCGCCCTTTTAGTATTTATATGCATAATCTATGGTACAAAAGATATGCAGAAGGATACCATTTATACAAATGTCGACAAACAACCTACATAGATTGATACATATATATATATATATATATATATATATATATATATATATATATATATATATATATATATATATATATATATATGCTTTATCCGCCCGGTATCGCACATCGGTTAAACCAGAAGAAATCTCTAACTTAAAGCTATTCGATTTAATACCTCTGCCAGAGACACACTTTAGACGCCTACGTTTATCGCAGAGACATTGTATCAGTGTCCCACCACCTCTAATTCCGCACCTACAACGAATACGTTTTGTTATCTGAAACTGGCCTAGTGTAAGTACAGTTGGTTTTAACATCTCTGGTTGATTACAACATCTTCTGAAGAAAGTGTTGCACACTGTCTATATGGCCTCCAGTAAAACAACTATTTTCTACGTCGACAGCACGCACACAAGGTTTACCTATTATGTAGGACGTGGTTTGTGTTCCTACGCAGAGATTCAAGTAAAAATAAATGAATAAAAAAAAAGAAAGAAAGAAAGAAAGGAAATAAATGAATAAAAAAGAAAGAAAATGAATGAATAAAAGAGAAAGAAAGGAAATAAATAAATAAAATAAATCAATTCGGAAACATCTATTTCGGAGTAGAATAATGATTTACTCCAGCGTAACACGATTGCGTTTTTGCGTTAAGGTTATGCTTAAGTAGCAACAGGCATGGAAGGCAAACATGTCGTCAACACCAGGAACTTCTAGGTTAAAGTGGAAATGATTACAGAGGAAATCTTTGGGTTTTGTTCTTCAAAGATAAAAGTATTTTCAAAGAGCTCTGACCTCGAAACAATTCAAAATAATAATAAAAAAAAGGCTTAACTGAATCGCGAAAATGATGGCTATATTTAAATAATTACGCAATATTTTCTGGAGATGTAATCTAGGATTTTTTATTCAAAGAAAGCTAACATAAAACATCTCTTCTATATTATTATATATTCATAACTTTACACGTAGTCTAAAAATGCTTTCAATTTATTTTCGTGAATTTATGTGGCGAGAGCAAGTGAAAGAAATGCCTGAAAAAAAAGCTTTGATTTATAAATGCCATTTTTTTTTCCCAAATTAATAATTTCTGGTTATCTGTGTTTATATATATATATATATATATATATATATATATATATATATATATATATATATATATATATATAGATATGGATATGGATAGATATAGGTATAGATAGATAGATAGATAGATATAGATATATAGTGCTGATTCCTGTATGCACACTATCTATCTATCTATCTATCCATACGTTTTATTTTATTGTTTGTTGAATTTTATTTTTTTATTTTATTTTACATTTTCTTCCAGAATTTATAATTTAAGTAATTTTATAATTTGGTCATAATTTCAGCATTAAATGTATCCTATAGAATGAAGTCTGTTGTCGCTTTTATGTATATATATATATTTTGGTTTAGAATGAATATATATTATATATATTATTATATATATATATATATATATATATATATATTTATATATATATATATATATATATATATATATATATATATATAATGGTTTAAAAGGCAGAATATATATATATAGAGACATACAGGGAGGGGGGAGGAGGAGGCACGGTGGGGTAAGGGAGGAGGAGGCACGGTGGGGTAATGGATATCGGCTTGGATTGTGGAATCGAAGAACCGAGTTCGAATCCAGGTTGAATCCATTACATTCACTTACGTGCTAATACCCTTGGGAAATGTGTGAATCCTCATCTTCTCCCTTCAGCTATGGGTTAAAAAGCAGGATAGACTGGGTTCTATAGCCTGGGATGGCAACTGGTCTAGGAGAAGGAAAACTCTGAATTCAAAACCTGCGGAGGGTCGTTTGGGGACCTTGTGGCACGTAGTGCACCAGGTCTCTGTATTTGGCCCTTCAAAAAGTGTGGATGGTCCTGCACGAAACCTT